CTGCCGCTCACCTGCCCTTGCTCGCAGGTGCGCGTCGGCGGCGTCCTCTTCTCGCCCGGCTCCGTGAGCATCGTGTCGGACAGCCTGCTGACCCTGCCAGCCATCGTGAGCAGCGCCGCCGGCGGCAGCCTGCTCCTCATCATCGTCATCATCGTGCTCATCGCCTACAAGCGCAAGTCCCGCGAGAACGACCTCACCCTCAAGAGGCTGCAGATGCAGATGGACAACCTGGAGTCGCGGGTGGCCCTGGAGTGCAAGGAGGGTGAGTGGGCGCTGCTGCTGCACGCCGGGGCCTCCCTTCCAGGCCCCGAACTGCGAGGTTTTGGGCATCCCGGGGAACGTGTTTTATCCAGTTGGAAGAGAGCCTGGCAAAGCAAAGTAAATAGAAACTGCAAATTTCACAGTGTGACCTTGGTGCGCGCAGGTAGCTGTGCTCAATTTGTTCAGCTGATTTTGAAAGGATAGCCTCAAAGTGTAGGGCAAGAAGTGAGACCTGTTCAGGAGAGACCCCGGCTTCTGTACGAACACAACCTGCCTGGGGACACAGCGACCTTGCCAAAGCCAGCAGTGTTTTAGGATTCGGATAAGGAACACAAGCACACACCACTAGAGCTGTAATATCCCTGTTGATGGTATGTTATAAAAGGAAGAATAAACTCCTTCCTGACCCTGGCAGCAGGCGATTTCTGCACAAAGCATCAGATTTGATTATTTTGGCTACTGTAGATAGAGAAGAAAAAGAAAGGAAAATATGGGAGACACCAAGGTAGGAAAATAGATCCTCATTTCTCTCTGCTGCCTTTAAAGGTGCTTTAGGTGTGTATACCCAGGTGTGAACTGCATACAAATTAATAAGCATCTTTTGTTCTCTGCATCTGTTGTTCGCAGCGCCTGCTCGCAGCTGCTGCATCGGGGTCTCCAAGCGTGAGGGCCCATCTAAGCGAGGTCACAGCTTGCTGAGCTGCTCCCTTGATGCTCTCGCTGATGTGCCCCCGAGGAGAGCAGGCGGCCTGCTTCCCCGAGCTCCCCGAGCTCCTCCTTGATTACATTTGATTGCTTTCTCGTTCTTTTCTTCCCAAATAGCTTTTGCAGAGCTGCAGACGGACATCAATGAATTAACCAGCGACCTGGATCGCTCGGGAATCCCGTATCTTGACTATCGGACGTATGCAATGAGGGTGCTTTTCCCGGGCATCGAGGACCATCCTGTGCTGCGGGAGCTGGAGGTAAAGAGCAGGGATGGTCCCTTGGGAAACCCACGTGAAACCCACTGAGCAGGGAAGCCCCTTGTCCCTGAATTTTATTAGAGGCCCTAGGAACTAGTAGAAAAATGAACCCAGAGCTCATGTGAGCCGGGCGTTTTATCGTCTAAGCACACTGCTTGCTTCCTCTTGGTTTCTTCCACACAGCTGCTGGTTTAGTTTTATTTTATTGGTTTTTATATTGCTATAGACCAGCAGTGAGGCACACCACATAAGTTATCCGTGTGCCTTTAAAGTCCTCCTTAATCACCTTAGGATGGAGGGAAAAGCTGCGTGCCTGGAGCATCCTCCTGCTGCTGTTTCACGGCGTGTCCACAGGAGGGCAAGCGCTTTGCCTCGGCAGGGCCCGCTGCTGGGCTCGCTGTGAGCAAGTGTTTTAATTGCCCTCTCTGGTTTTTCTTCAGTATGTGCATAAAAATCCCTGTGCTTCAGCCAGCTGCAGCTTCATTTAGGCGGTGAATTAAGAGACTCCCTATAAATTGATTCCGTCAAGGTTCTTCTGAACGTAGAAGGCTTTCCTAAGGGTCAGAAGTGCCCAGTGGTTAATGCAGGTGCTCCATAGCATTAATGCATTGAAGTAGATTCCTTTCCAAGAGGCCACCAACACAGAACCGCAACTGCTGGTGAAACTCATGCAGCTTCCCCTGAACCAGCCTCTCTCCTGGCCCCGTGTTCTCCAGCCCCACGTTACATTCACAATTGCCAAATAAGCTGATCCTCTAACAAACAAATATGAATGCTTTTTTTTTATTTGTTTTACTCATGAAAAACAGAATTGCAGAAGTGATAAATGTGTTGCCAATTACACAGTTGCTTAATTATGTAACGTTAGTAAAGCCAATACGTAAGTCTCCAAGATGTTTGTTAAAGAGTTGCTTAATGTAGTTCATCATTTTCACTCATAATGAATTACTTGAATCCAGAACTGGCTGAAAGCCTCAATTAATTTTTTACACTTGTCTCATAATAAAGCAATAGTCTAAATTAGTATTTAATTTACTTATAGGAGTGTCACTTTTTATGCAGAACAAGCAAAATTGTATGTCATTTATGAGGCCGTTAGCCTCAAAGCAGCAGCTTTATGGCATGCAGAGGGTGCAGTTTGGAGCAGTGATTAAGGCACCAAGTGCTGGAAATGCTTCGAATACAAAAAGCTGGTGTTTGCTGGGGCCCGAAACACGGCGTCTGCTCTCGCCCGCTGCAGGTCCAAGGCAACGGGCAGCAACACGTGGAGAAAGCCTTGAAGCTCTTTGCGCAGCTGATCAACAACAAAGTGTTCCGGCTGACGTTCATCCGCACGCTGGAGCTGCAGCGCAGCTTCTCCATGCGCGACCGCGGCAACGTGGCCTCCCTCATCATGACGGGCCTCCAGGGCAGGCTCGAGTACGCCACCGACGTGCTCAAGCAGCTGCTGTCCGACCTCATCGAGAAGAACCTGGAGAACAAGAACCACCCCAAGCTGCTGCTGCGCAGGTAGGGCACGGCTGTGCGGGCAAGGGGTGGGCGAGCGGTGTCACCGCCCGGGCGCCGGGGACCTTCTCCCTGCAGCAGCGGCCGTCAGTTATTCACAGTTATTTCCATAGTGCAAGAGCAGGCGGCTGGCGGCCCTAGTGCTGCTAATGGGAGCTGGACACAGTATTAGTTCATTAGCAATGTTAATTAGGAGGTTTGCTGCTCTTAATTTAATACTCCAGTCACAAAGTAGAATTAAGTAGTTAAATTAATGCTCACCCTGAAGCCTGGGGGTGCATCGTTTCGCGAGCCTTTCTCCCGCTCTTGAATCTGCACGGCCAGCTCGCTGTGGCTGGCTCTGGTGCTCCTGCTGCTTCGCCTTTACTGGGGAACTGAAATCCTGTAAACAGGGGACCAGAAAGTGTGTCATTCTGCAGGGTGAATTTTCAGGCAGTTAATCAATCCAGGCTTAAATTCCTTGAGGATCTGCAGGCATTCTCACAAATTCCCAGCAGACGCTGCATCCTTGCAGCCGCCGGGCAGTGTGACCCCGGCTGTCCTTGCGGGTGGGATCAGCTCTGGTTTGCTGAAATCTGCAGCTCCTGTTCCCAGCTGATGGCATCAGCGTGAGGATGAAGCCCTGTGGCTTCCATAGGACGTGTTTATCCTTAAATGCTCTGCAAAGAGGCTGTCCCTGATTCGGGGCAGATGCGGGTGAGCGGCTCCGGAGCGGGATGGGGACCTGCTCTGGGATGGGGCCAGGGCGCAAATGGTCTCCCTGCAACAGCAGGTTTTTTCCCCCACCAGCTGCCACCCAGTTCTGGCCCTGCAGCATTCGCCAAGTGCGGGACAGCCCGTCCCACCTCCCTGTCCTGCAGTGCCAGTGTTGAAAGCTATCATTAGAAACCATTGTATTTAAATTGGAGATAATCCGGGGAGCGGGCACAGGGTGGAGCTGGCCAGAAAGCTGCAATTTCCCCGGCATTGTCCCTGCACGTCCCCGGCTGCCGCAAATCCCCACGATTTAGCAGCCAGGCTGTAATTTGTGCCACGTGCAAGGAGCTGGTGTCACCAGGCTGCCTGTCACCGCTGTGACGGGCTGTCAGCCGGGCTGGCTAGCCGCGGGTCATGTCACCGGCTTCCATGAGGACACCTTGAACATGAAAGGTGACATTGAGGTTGATTTTGTGTGTATTGCGTGTGTGACACTGCGTCCTCCCGGCTTCCCTAGGACCGAGTCAGTGGCCGAGAAGATGCTCACCAACTGGTTTGCCTTTCTCCTCCACAAGTTCCTCAAGGTAAGCAAGGGATGGAGCTGAGACCTTCATGTGCCCCTTTGCCGTCGTCTTTCCCTCTTGCTCTTTCCAGAGCACTCATCCAGCTGTCCGCTGGGTGAATCCACGCTTGAATTTGCCCAGTGGGACCCAAAGCAGACTGTAGTACAGTACCCTTTTTGCCCGTCTTGTTCAATGTAGCCTGAAATTTTTCATGTGAGAGAGTTTCCAGTGCTTCCCCTGAGCCCTGTTTACAGGTTAATGGATCTCCCTGCTTGGGAGAGTGCTTTCTGCTGTTCAGTTTAACTTTCCCAGGCTTTGGTTTCACCTCATTTCATCTGGCTCCATCCCCCAGAGCACTCCAAACAGATCACCCTCCTGAGCGCTTACACCTCGTTAGTGCTTACAGGCAATTATCACTTAGACTTCCATGCCTGCACTTCAGTATTTCTTAACTTTGTTTTTGGAAGTGCTGCAGAACTTGCTTCACGGGAGTGAGCAGTGAGATCTGGATCTCAAATTCCCTCTTTTTCAGCAATATAGACTCCATAAAGACTTAGCAAGCCAAGGGCAACATCCTCAAGAAGCGGTGGAGCTCGTGGTTTGGGGTATCCTCTCTAGGCCCTGCTGGGGACTGCAAGCCTGGATTGCACATGGGCTCAAGATGGATCCCTGGGATTATGGATCCCTGGGATTGTGCATCCCTGGCTTGAGCAAGATGTGTCCGCAGGCAAGCGGTCCTGGGGGAGAGACACCGTCACCCCCGTGTTAGTGTTACTGTCTGTCTCGTTGTACAGGAGTGTGCCGGAGAGCCCCTCTTCATGCTCTACTGTGCCATCAAGCAGCAGATGGAGAAAGGCCCAATTGATGCCATCACGGGGGAAGCGCGTTACTCCCTGAGTGAGGATAAATTGATCCGGCAGCAAATCGAGTACAAAACTCTGGTGAGTGGTTGCTGTAGAAGCTGGGTTTGAGCTGTTCTGACATCTAGGCCAGTGGTTTGGGCACTGCCATGGAGCTTCCATGGGATCTCCAGGATAAACCACAGCACTGAAGCCAGTGCAGTAATCTGTAACATCCACAGAGCTACAAATCCGAGGTAGGTTGCTGGAGCCACCCACGAGTTAGGTATGAACCTCATTTGTACCTCACTGAGCAAAGGGTTTGAAAGGCAGAGCTTGAGGGGAGATCTTATCCTGTCTCTGACAAAGGACAAAGGACCTGGATTTTTCTCTTTTTAAAGAAATGCTAAATGCAACAGCCATGATGCAAATAAGGATGCAGTGTGGGTGTTTTGTGAGAATTAGCTGTATGACAGCTGCTGTTATTGTTCTGCTGAATACCTGTCTGAAGCTCTCTAGAGTGGTCTGGTTTTCCTTCCTTTGCAGATCCTCAACTGTGTGAACCCAGATAATGAGAACAGTCCAGAGATCCCCGTGAAGGTGCTGAACTGTGATACCATCACTCAAGTCAAAGAGAAGATCCTAGATGCAGTATACAAAAATGTCCCGTATTCTCAAAGACCGAGAGCTGTTGACATGGACTTGGGTAGGAGCCTCCCTACCGCGTTACAGAGACTGTTGTTATCAGTGGTCATTAGTGGGATTTGCAGAGCTTGAAGGCTAGAGCTGAGACTGGAGTTACCTGCACAACTACACACAGATTTCTGCCCCAAGCAAGCGTGGATGCTGCTCCCACCAGATAGGTTTTGATCTCTGTAGATTCAGTTAATTGCCCATTCCCTAGTGAGCAAGCAGTTCCTTAAGTCTCCTACACTCCACTGAGCAAAGGCTTTCCACAAGGGTCAGTGTCTTCCCAGGGCAGAGGGTCTGAAAGGCTGTGCACTTAGTTGCAAGAAAGCTACAGTGTGGCTTTCATTATAGTTATGAGAGCTTGAGAAAGAAATTAGTTTTCTTTGAATACCCTTACGGGGGGCCCAATGAGAGAGGCTGCTCTACCAAAGCGCTAGCTGGGCCAGCAGTGGCTGGAGGCCGTTAGCTCTCCTGCCCCGCTGGCCGTCGTGTCACCTCGCTTTTGTCTCCCTTGCAGAGTGGCGCCAGGGCCGGATCGCTCGCGTGGTGCTGCAGGATGAAGACATCACCACCAAGATCGAAGGAGACTGGAAGCGCTTGAACACCTTGGTGCATTATCAGGTAAGAAACCGGCCTCGGCAGAGAGGTCCCGGAAAGCTGCCCCGGGGAAGGAAAAGAAAAGCAGGAATTTAGCTCCCAAGTGTCTCATCTACCAAGGCAGGCAGAGAGGTCACGTTCGTATGATAAACCAGAATGGCTCTGTGTGCTCGTGCATTAAACAGGAAAGCAACCTTGACACGGATCTTAAAGCAACTAGCAGAGTTGAAAATTGGCTAAATTAAAAATGCCAGCAGCATGCGAGCCAGACAGAGCATTGCAGAGGGCTGAGCTGCCACTGCTGGAGACACAGGGCCGGGCAGGATTGCTCTGTGGGGAAGGACCAGGAGTTTCTGCCTTCCTCAGAAGCATGATGAACCTCATGAGCAGACAGGTAGGCTACAGAGGTGACTGCTCTGTCACACTCACGAGCTTGTTGACTCCTGATCATCATGCAAAAAGCAGAGGAAGGAAAGGGTGTTTATTTCAGTACTGTCAAGTGGGAGACTCGGGGGACATTGCTGTGGGTCACAGGGCAAAGCTAAGTCAAATAAGGGTGAAAATCAGGAGCTGCTTCTTGACAAGGTAACATCAAGTCTCCTAGATTTGAGATCTACTCTTCTGTGGCAAATAACGGGAGTTTTGTCACTAAAATCACAAATAATTTGGCAGGATGGTGAAGATACTTTATTTTGCATTGGCCAGGGCGGACTGGATGACCTAAGAAATGTTTCCTGCAGTGTGCATGCCCCAGTGCAACCCAGGCTGCTCTGGATAGGCGCCTGGTGGTTGGAAAGGACTTCTAACGGTGTGCAAAAAATGTAAAAAGAGGTAAAGAAAGAGCAGGAGAAAGTTTGGTTATGAGGAATCAAAGGCCTGTCTGCAGCAGAAGATAACTGCATTAATTGAGACCTGTAACCTACTACTGTCCATCACTACCTACACTGAAGTGTTTAGTATTTAATCTGGCATCTTTCACTGTTTATACAGCGTCTCGAGTCCATCAGCGTGACTCCTGCTGTGTAAGTTGAATGCGAGCCAGTATTGACAGCAGCCATATAATCAGGGAGCGAGGCAGCGAGAATGGCATAAATATGCAAAGTGCGTGTGAAAAAGCAGCTCTAGAGGCAACTTTTCCAAGCAGCCTGAAGGATTTAAACACAGATTACCTTAAAAATCTCACGGGAGCTGGGCATATAAATTCCATTGTTGGCTTTTAAAATCTGTTTTACCTGACAGTTGCAAGGGATTAACCAACAAGCAGGGAAGCAGTAAGACTTTATTATGCCTTGATCTTTAAAAGTCATCTAAGGAAGCCAGAAGTGAAATTCAGGTCCGTCTGATGTGTGTTGGGTGCTAGGGGAGGGAGCGCTTTCATTTTAGTGCCTGTGGGAAACCTGAGCCATTACTTTACCCTTAAAATAAGCAAAGTCCTTACAGCACTCGAGGCACGGCAGCTATTCTTACCATTTGAATGTCAGTTTTGCTCTGGAGCAAAGTAAGAGTTTGCTGCCAAATATCCAAGTAGGTAGCGGTTGCACATGTCTCTCCTCGCGCTGGCCAGAACTCTGAGCAGCCAGAACAGAGCTGTCGAAGCCATAAAAAGAAGCCAAGTTCTCAGCACCGCAACAGAAATCTCATCAAGGCAGGGCTTCTGCCAAAACCAAACAGCATTTTTTTTTGTATTTCTACAGGGCTTTTCTTCTGTTTGAGTAATACATGTTTTTATTAGGTATCAGAAATACAGATGCTCCAGAGCTACACAGTAAAACAAATAGGCGGGCAAAGGCACAGCCTCCAAGAGGGTATGAAAGCAGCTGGGTTTCGAGCACTGCTCTGCCACCGCTTTCACCAGGAGCATCCAAGCAAAGGGACCAGGCCTGGCGAGGGGGTAGCCAGGGACTCTTGTCACCAGCAGGGACGTGGGAAGGGAAAACTAGCTGCTATGGAGCAAGCGTGGTGCAAGCCAGGAAAATGAAAGGCAGATTTCTCTGGCTTCTGGAGGACTGCTGGAGTAGGTAGTCACTCTTTTCCAGCAGTAATAAATACTAGCTCTGCAAAGCTAGCCCTATCTCTTATTCAGAAGTGTCTCTTCCTTTGGTCAGATGTCTTTCCCCTTGCTTTATGCTTTCACGTGCTGCTCTGAAAGCAAAGAGTGCTCTGTGGCTTGTGCACAGTAACTGGAGGGGCCCTCGGGGCTTCTCTGGCAATATCGTGGGCGTTTTGTGCTTTTTATGCTTTGGAGCTTTAGAGGCACCGTTTCATAGGAGTCATCATTGGAGCGGGCAGCAGAAAGCCCTTGAGCTCCGCAGGTTTGTGCCGGGCGGTTCCTGGGCTTGGTTCCCTGCTGCTCCTCCGGGATCAAGGCCCAGCTCGCACCATGGACCGCGCCGGCCCAGCGTCAGCGGGATGAGGATTTTCATAGGACAATTATTTAATTGCAAGACTTTCCCCCCTGCGTATTCCTCTGCTAGAAATTTACACCATGTCTTTATGTTCTGAGTAGGTAGAATAAGAATCCCCCATATATCTGCATCAGCTGATAAATATATTTTTCATGGGAAATCCTAACATGTAAAAGCCAGATTGAATTTTAAAAGAAGTATTAAACTTTTTCTGATATTTCTGAGCTGCCTTATAGAACTATGTAGAGAACTGCATGCTTGCTGCTATTTCCTCATTTATAAAAATAGATTTATAGGTTAAATAGGTATAATTCTTTGTTAAAGTCTCTGGAGCTTTTACACTAAGCTATGAAGAATCATATTTCATTTGGATGGTATCCTCGTGGTTTCATGCCTATTAAACTCGATGGGAGAGTCTCACCCCCATGTGGCTTTACTAAAGTGAAATGAATCACTGAATTTAATATCAAATGATTTACTGTGGCTCACGCAGGGTTAACTCGGAGGCAGCAAAGCATGAATACCTGTCAGCCACTGGGAGTCCGGAAGGGCTGGGAGATTAGAAAACTACTTTAAATGAAAAATTAGGAGCAGAGTGGGAAGATTCGTGTAGAAAATGAGATGCAGGAGCCAGCAGCGGCTTGGCCGGGAGCCTCCACCTGGAGCCGGTTAGTGCTGCTCGGTGCGGGCCGGCTCTCAGCTGCGCTCCCGCTCGCTCCCTCTACCCTGGTTTTTCCTTTCTTTAAGGTGTTTCAAGCAGCACGTTTCCAGATAGGGGTAGAATAGGAATATTTATAAAGTTGTAAAACAGCCAGCCAGCTTCCCGAGCGTCTCTGGGGTTTTATGGGAGCGTGGCAACAGTGGAGAGCGATGGGGAAGGAATGTGTGTTACATCTGATGCTAATTTAACACACTGGTGTTTTTCAGCTGACAAGAGTCATTCGACCCAAAATTTAGAGAGTGAGAGGAGCGCTGCGGGTGCGCGAGGAATTTGCAATACCTCTCTCCTGGTTAACCACAGTGCCGAGGGAATCGTATCCCCGTGCAGCAGCCAGGGAATCGCTGCCTCCGCGCGCGGCTCCGGGGCTGCGCGCTCGAGTTTCTCCGGGCTGAGGCTGAGCTGAAGTGGCAGCTAATAACAGCCAAAGAAAATAATATCACCTCTGATTGTTTCTTCCATCAGCTTAATAAATTGGATGAAGCGAGGCAGGAATAGAAGAGGAAATAACAGAGGTGTTTGAAGTGTTTTGCTTAGAAATATCTCACTTTTGCACTGTGAAGCGCAAGTGACTATTATTTCCACCAGCACTGGCAATAATAATAACTCAGTTTGCAGGAAACCTTTCATTTTGCAGACCCCAAGCCTTGCAGGGAGCTTTCTGCATTCAGGATCATTCTCTTGCAGGTGGAGCAGGTGGCTGGTGCTGCAAAAGTCGCACGAGCGCCACTTCATCCGGGGCATGAGGAGATTCCCAGGAAGCAAAGTATAGCTCCCACTTGGGAGATTGCCCGAAATCCCCATGAGAGCTCCCCTAGATCCAGAATATATTAACTTACATAGAGCAGGTTGGTGGTACCGAGCTTTGATGTGCAGTTTCTGTGGCCTGGGATTTGCCTCTCCCTGCCCCACTGTGTCTTGGGGCTCCAAGGGCAGAGCTGGAAGCTGCTCAGGTCTCGTCCCTGCAAACCTGCACCTTCCTAATTAACCAAAGCAAGTTAAAAAAACTTCCAATGACTGTTAAGATTTTTAGGGAGGGTAAAATTAAGCACGGCTACTAAAATCTCCTATAACAGACTCTTGTTAGCACTAATGTTCATTTACAGTTTGACTTCCCAGCATTTAATTCTTTCTCTGCTGCAACAGAGAGACTGACAATTTAATGCCTTAAAGATGGCTTTATGACTTGCTCGCCTGCAAATCAAACTTTTAAAGTTCATAAAAATTGTTAAAATAAAAAATGGTTTAATGGGGATGCTTTACGGTCCATAACATTATTATAGCTGCTTTATTCCCTCTGCATTGTTACTTTAATTGGATCACAACAGGCCTTGAGATTTGCCATTTTTATTGGATAAAATATAATCTTAAATCAGAACGACCCAAAAGCTCTTCAATATGTCTCTTGATTTAGAACTTCTTTCCTTCCTTCCATCCCTTGTTGTTAAACTAGTCCTGGCCCACAAGAGCGTTCGACCAGACAGGGAGCACGTGTCTCCTGTGCAAAGCAAGAGGGACCTGACAGGACGTTTTCTCCTGCGAGTTCTTTGCTGGGCTTGGGGTTTCTGCACGAGCTGCAGCATCCTCCATGCGAGCTGCAGCATCCTTGGTGTGAGCTGCAGCATCCTCGGCGCAAGCTGCAGCGTCCTGGGTGTGAGCTGCAGCGTCCTCAGTGCGAGCTGCAGCATCCTCGACACAAGCTGCAGCATCCTGGGTGCAAGCTGCAGTATCTTCAGTTTGAGCTGCAGCATCCTGGGTGTGCAGAGCACCTCGTGCTGATCTCCCCTTCTCCTGCTCTGCCTCCCAGGTGTCGGACCGCTCGGTGGTGGCCCTGGTCCCCAAGCAGACGTCCTCCTACAACATTCCTGCCTCCGCCAGCATATCCCGGACGTCCATCAGCAGATACGGTAAGGAGCGGAGCGGAGCGGAGGGGACTCGCGCTTCCCAGCCGGCGTCCTGCCGCTCCCGCCTCCGCGCTGCCCACGTGCCGTGTTCCCCGCTCCGACTGGGAACAGCCGCTGTCGAGGCTGCCCTTGCTCGTAGGTGAATGAGCAGCAGCTTCCTCCAAGGAGCCACTCGCTTCCCATTGCCTGGAACGAAGGGTTGGCTCTGCTGGAGCTGCTGGAAAAATGCCGCTGGCTCCCGGCGCTCTAAGAGGAAGAGCCTGAATTCCTAGCTAATGGGTCAGAAATGGGAAACAACATCGTAACTCAGCGTGCGGGGATTCGCACACCTGGGAACGCAGCATTTGCATAATAGCGTGGTTAGGCATTTACACGTGGTCCCTGAAGAGCTTCCACGCTGAATAAATGAGCCTGTGAGGTGCCAGGTGTGCATTTAAAGCACTAAATCCACAATAATAGTAATAATATGCTTCCATAAAAGGCAGCGGTGGAAAATTCTCCAGCACACTGATCTCTCATTATCTTTCTTTTTACACAATATTTTGCAAATGAGAGCTCTCCTGACAAACTTGTCTCCATGTCTTGTTAATAGCTCCCAGAATATATATTTTTTTTCTCGAACAAGGGGGCTGGAAAGGCATCCGAATGGCAAGAGGGTCTTTAGGCAAAAGCCATGTCAGGCTCTACATATTGGAGAAAAGGCCGTTTCTCACTGTGAAATGCAACCCCCACACGAGTGCCCAGGGCTTCCCACTCCTCAGGTGATGGAAACATCCAAGCTGGGTCACACAACATGGGCCTTAAGTTCTCATTGATCTCTGTCATATGGAAAAGCCTCTGCGAGCTACAAATATGAATTATCATCGCTCATGATAAGATTAATACTTCTAATTGTGCAGACGGAATTTAAATGAGATAGTTATTTACTTTCCCCATTATATATCAGTACAGAGCTGTGTTTAAAAATAGACTTACTAGATGCTTCTCGCTGTCCCCCTATGTTTTTCCTTCGTTAGATCAGCTGGAATACTCATTTATCTAAGCCTTAATCAAAGATGGGAATCTAGCTGGTTTTGTAATGACTCCTGTGTTTCCTTCTGCTGATTTATGATCGATCCTCTCACCCGTGCTGGGAAGGGGAGGCTGGACTGGGGGAACGCAGAGGTTCTTGGGGAGCCAGGATGTGCAGCGAGGGATGAAACGGATGGTGCCATGTTATATAGTGGCCTGTTCTGTCCCATTTTTATAAATGAGGCGTGTTCTTTGGGAAGTTAAGTTTATTGCACATCCCTGCAAGTGAAGTGTGGGTGGCTGAGCTCCCTCCATGCTGGTGCTCCAACACGCTGTGTGATTCCAGCACCTGTGAGTAAAGGACACGGCTGACCTGGGGCAGGGAGGGAAGGGAGAGGCCAGGGCCAAGGGACTCCGGTCTGGGCGTCGCGGAGCCCCACGTGTGACCGACCGCTCCTGTGTCGCAGACTCCACGTTCCGGTACACGGGCAGCCCGGACAGCCTGCGCTCCCGCGCCCCCATGATCACCCCGGACCTGGAGAGCGGCGTCAAAGTCTGGCACTTGGTCAAAAACCATGACCACGGGGACCAGAAGGAAGGGGACCGGGGCAGTAAGATGGTGTCCGAGATCTACCTGACGAGGTTACTAGCTACGAAGGTAACTGCCTTACGCTAACGTTTGCTCGGGAAATGTGTAGCGATGCCCTTGATGCCTTGCTTGCCCTTGGTTGCGCTTATTAGCCTTACATGTTCGTTAGTGAAGCTCTCCCTGTGGCCGCCCAGCACGGAGGCAGGAGCTGCCCTGCTCTCCCCATGCTGCAGCCTCGCAGCCGCAGTTAAGCATTGCCACGATAGCTGCAATACTTCACTCCTCTGCAAGGCATTAAAGCCCTCAGAGTCAGAAAGGCACCAGAGTGCCTGTAAATTGGCACTTTCCCCTGCCGGAGAAGGTCTTGCTGCTTTTTAGCATCGGCCATTGCTGCAGACAGCGCAGCTTGGCCTCAGAAAGCACAAAAAATTGTGTTTTGCCTTTGAAATAAAGTGTAAATGCAGCCGCGAGCAGCTGCAGGCGCGAGCAGCGCCCCAGAGCCCTGCGCGGTGCCGCGAGCGGGGCCGGAGCGCCCGGCCGCCCTTCACCCCGCGCTCCGTCCCCAGGGCACCCTGCAGAAGTTCGTGGACGACCTGTTTGAGACGCTGTTCAGCACGGTGCACCGGGGCAGCGCGCTGCCGCTCGCCATCAAGTACATGTTCGACTTCCTGGACGAGCAGGCCGATAAGCACGGCATCCACGACACGGACGTGCGGCACACCTGGAAGAGCAACTGGTGAGCGCGGGGCCTGTCCGGGCGCGGGGGCAAAGGGCTGGGGACAGGAGGGCTTTTAGCATCCAAAAACTGATGCTACACCATGAGCCACCCCAGCTGCAGCGCTCCGCAAGCAGCGGGAGCTCCGCGCCTCTGCTGCTGTGCTTATTTTGGGATTAAAAGCACCATGGGTTGAAATGCACCTCTGTGAGGCAGGGGAAAGAAAACCAACAAATGGCTGCTCCCGGAGGACTCTGTACCCCCTCCAGTCCCTCGTGGTTTAAAAAGCCTCTAATCATCACGTCTGCAAAAGCTGGCTTCCCTGCTAAGACTGTGGGAAGCCAAAAACATTTTATGGAAAGCCTTAGCAGAAGGAGTTACTAGGATAAAACCGCTCAGATCACAAATACAGGTGACACTTCTTAAAGCTGTAAAAAAACGAGGGTGCTGGACAGCAGAGCTGGTCCTGCTGGAGCCCTCGTGGCACCTGGAGCCCGGCCGGGCCCGTCCCCGTGGGGCGCGAGGGCGAACGCGGGAGAGGGCGACGCGCCGGGCGCTGCAAGGGTTAAGGCTGCAGCCGCCAGTGCTTCTCGCTGGGTAGCGAGTCGAGACTTGAAAGGTAATAGAAAGCAGCAGCTGCTTTTTTGATCCTGCTATACAGCCGAAGAAAAAAGGAATAATAATTCCCCTTTGATTGCAAAGGCCTCGGGATTTGGGGACGAAGGCTCTGATGGCTGCTGCCCGCCTTCGCCGCCGCGGCCGGTGATTAGTGTGGACGGGCAGCGGCTCTGCCCCCGGCTCAGCCTGCGCCAAGACCCGGGTTAATGAACTCTGTCGTGGAGCCTCTCGCCGGCACACGCTGCTGCTCCCGGCCTTGCAAGGGGAGCCAGCCGCCCTGCCTGGGCTCCTGCACTGCCCGCCGGGCACGGGGAGGACCCAGAGCCGCTGTTCTGCTTCCTTCACTTACCATTAACTTTGTTTTTCATTTCCCTGCAGCCTTCCTCTGCGCTTCTGGGTGAACGTCATCAAGAACCCGCAGTTCGTGTTCGACATCCACAAAGGCAGCATCACGGACGCCTGCCTCTCGGTGGTGGCTCAGACCTTCATGGACTCGTGCTCCACCTCGGAGCACCGCCTGGGCAAGGACTCCCCCTCCAACAAGCTGCTCTACGCCAAGGACATCCCCAGCTACAAGAGCTGGGTGGAGAGGTGAGCGTCGGCGCGGGGCGGGAGCCGCGCGCGTGCTCTGGTCCTGGGCTTAGCAGCTTGACTCGTGACGGTAGGTGGTATCGCCCAGCATTGCTGCTCTTGGTTTCATCAGCGAGGGATTAAATCCAGAGGAGAAGAGGGGCATTCTGAGCCTCGTGTTCCTCGTGGGCTCCCCTTCACCCCTTCTGCTCACAGGTATTACGCAGACATCGCCAAGCTCCCTGCCATCAGCGACCAGGACATGAACGCCTACCTCGCGGAGCAGTCGCGCCTGCACTCCGCCGAGTTCAACATGCTGAGCGCACTCAACGAGATCTACTCCTACGTGAGCAAGTACAGCGAAGAGGTGGGTGTCACTGCAGGGCCCTGCCATCTCCATGTCACGCACAGCGTGAGGGAGGACTCGCATTGCATCCCCGCTGCCCGTATCCATCTGCTCATGCACAGAGAGGTTTGGGTCCTGGCCGTGCCAGTAACACGCTTCCCAGGAGACTGGAGAGCTAAAATGTGTGAGCAACTGAATTTCTCAGTCTTGGCATTTCCCCAGTGCAACTCACTCCTAAGTGCAGTGGAAGATCATCATGACCCATTGAACCTCCCCAAAAGCATCCTCATCTTTTGGGAACAGAGTGGCACAAATCCCATGTTGCAGTGATGCAAACTTCTGTTTGCAAAAAATTCCTGGCAGCATGAGCTCCTTTAATGAATGCATCACTTGAAACCAAGTTCTCGCCATCTGTTCCACCCCTTCATTTCAGTGTAAGAAGAACCTATTTTGCAATTACATCCATTAAAAGGAAGGTTTTTGTCACTTAATTGCATGTATGCATTTGTGATACAATGCCACAACCATTTTCCGATTAGGATCTGAAATCTCATAACTTTCATGCTAAATGAGACAGGAAATGTAGAGTCCAAGGTACAAGAGTGGGAATGACTGTGTTGTGCTGGTAATGTGCACTGAACAGTCCAACAAATAAATCAGCATGACTGTGGAATGGCACAGCACTCGCCACTTTGCTTTGCCATTTATTATTTAAGTTTCTTTGTTGGAGCAAAGCTAAGGGAAGGGATTTATTGTAGCTGCAAAACTTCAGCAGCTGAATGTTGTGTGCATTCTGGCTGGAAGGAGATCTCCAACCAGAGGAAACCCGGTCAGCGTCGCGCTGTCCCAAAGTCACGCGCACACTCGGCACTGCAGGTGCCAGTGCTGGGCACTGCACCCATCCCAGAAATCTTCCCATGGCACCATGGAGATTTGCCTGGTACATTTTACTGACTCCCGATGTGTCCCACTCGTGCCCATTTTGAGAATCTCATGTCTTTCTGACCGCGCGCCGGCTGTGTCAGCCCCCTCGCTCTGTCACTGACTTCTTTCTTCTTTCTCTCCTCCCCATTTTTTTTGGACCAGCTCATCGGGGCTTTGGAGCAGGATGAACAGGCACGTAGGCAGCGTCTGGCATACAAAGTAGAACAACTTATTGGTGCCATGTCTATTGAGAGCTGAAGAAGGATGGTGATGCTCACGGAGAAGAGCAGCGCATTGCAAGGACTCGGGAATAAGGAGCGCGAGCGAGGAAGGCACGGGATACACACAGATACCGAGGTGTTTTCTGGAGGGAGCAGACACTGGCCCAAGAACTTGCTGTGTTCAAACGCACGTGGAATGCAGGTTGAAATGAGAAGGAAAACATAGACAAAGCATCTCAATCAAAATCCAATCAAGGTGGATCAATTATTCAAGTATACATGGAAGGAAGGAACCTAGAAAGTCTGGATGTTTCCATGACTGCTGCTTTGCATGAAAATTGTTTGATGTATATTAGGAAGTAAAACTTTATTTATTTTTTTTTTTTTAAAAAAAGGAAAAGGAAAAAAAATAGAACAAAAAACACAGACCACAGAGATAATCCTGGCAACACAACTCAGTTCTCATTTCTGTCTTCACGAGATTCCCAGGGTGAGGCATGCAGCTCAGATGTTCTCTGAAGGGGCTCTTAAGCCCATAGGAAAGTTGAGGAAATGGAATTTCTCTTCCTTCTGGAATCTTGTCGAAATATGAGCACAAGTTTGCACCAAACCTTTTTACACAAGTAAGGTAACAGTTCAGCCAGGAAAAGCTTCAGTGGCAGAGTAAGTTATAGGCACTAGAAGGAACTTTACCTGAACTGAAAAAAAATCAGATCATCCAACCTGTCTTGAAATCCAGCTTTATCTATGTATTTATATAGTGTCTATATATATATATATTTTTTAAATCCCATTTACTGTCGAATGAGGAAGGATCTGATTTTAAGCGCGTTTTGTCCCCCCGTGTCCCCCTCGGCCGGGGGGCTCTCCTGCAGGTACGGTTCGCGTGGCGGTGCCCGGGCTCGGCGCTCTGCCCTGCGTGGTGGTTTGTGGCAGCCACATCCAGCTCCTTTCAGTAAAAACACAAACGAAAACCCGATGTTTACAGTGAGTGATACTTGAAAAGGTTACTGTGGTGAGATGACGTATTTATCGTTTTTCTGCTCACCCACGAACACAGAGCAGGCTCCGTTCGCCGCTTCCCATCAGCGTTTGCAGCGTCACCCGTCCCACTAGCGAGGGAAGGAGCCCTCTGCCCTCGCAGGCAGGAAAGCCCGACCGGTGCCTGCACCGTCCGTGTGTCTGTCTGCACATCCCGTGCTTGCATTCGGTCCCCGCTGGCTGTGACAGCCCGTGGAAGACCGATATTTGTGAGTGTTTTTCCTCCAAAAGACACCAAAGCACCCGTGTCCCTTGGGGAGAATGCCAGGAGAGGAAGGAGCGCCACGATGCTTCTCCTGCAGCGCCGGTTCGTGCGGAGCTGCCGGAACCGCGCGGCCCGCGAGCACCGACAGCCCCTCCAGAAACAAGCGGAGGGGCGGCAGGACCCCCAGCGTCACCCGCAACGCGCGGATCTGAGAGCCGCCCGCTCCCGGGGAGCAGCGTCTGGAGAACTACTCAGGAACATTGTCCTTCTAATGACCGTCCTCGAAAAGCCATGCCGAGCCGCTCGCTCTGGGTGACGCACTCGTGTGAGCGTCTCTGGGCCCTATTAGGAGTCTGGAGGAGACGCTAATGACTGCCCTTGTGCAACGAGCTCCTGACATGTGCGGCAGCCGCGCGCTGGGCCCGCGGGGCTCTGATCTAGAGACGTGCAGAGCTGGCACAGGAGGAGGCAGTCGGAGAGGGGCTGAGCACAGGCAGCCCGCGCCGGGAGCCGCTCCTGCGCCGAACCCGACCTCCAAGGCGGCACGCGGAGCCCTGCCGAGGTCGTCCTGCCGCGGGCTGGTGCCCGGGCACCTCCCCGGGATTCTTCCCCAGACTCCCACGGTGCTGCAGCCCCTCAGGCCGCTCCTGGATGTCAGCTTGGACAGTGTATTCCGTAGGATTCGCAGAACGTGGATGCTGCCAATAGCACAGACTGTGTCGAGGAGGCGCACGCTGCGGCGCCCGAGTGTCCCGGTGGTGCCGGCGCGCAGGGCCGAGCCTGGAGTGTTTGCGGAGAGAGGACGTGGGCGACGGGGTGCTGGGTTTGTGCGTTGTGGGGGGAACGGAGCAGAAGACGAGACAAAACCAGCGGGAGCTCTTGGCAAAGCAGGGAAGTATTAAACTTGTGACGGGCCTCCCACGGGATGCAGCTGAAACGTCTATTCTTCCATTTTTTAAAAGGGCACTGGGCTTAGCAGGATGGCGAGGGGAGCTGCCGGGAAGGGATGGCCTGTAAATTATCTACCAAGTGTCTCCTTGTGGTGGTGGGCATGAATTATAGATCTTTACAGGCAATTATATGGAGTGAAGCAACACATCCCCTTGGGGCACAGCCCTTGTGTCTGCTGCCCTGCTCGCATCTGACTCTTCAGCTGCTCCTTTGGGAATGGGAAGCTCCAGATCTCCCTGTGGAATTTCCCTGGCGCTTGCGGCAGGCTGGACTTGGCCTTAGATGAGACGGTTTCACCCCATCTCGTTGCCCGCACCGTGCGCAGCCGGCTGGCAGGAGCGCAGCTCCCGTTTGTGATTCCCCGGCTCGCTCCGTTTCAGGTGTTTCGACATCAAAGTGGGAGACGTCATTTTCTGGGATCTCTGTGTCTGGCGTTGCTGCTTGAATAATTCCATTTAATCTTCTGCTCGTGCGCTTTCAAAGCACCCGCTCCGAGGGGGAGCCAGGTGCTAATCAAACGCTTCTCCACCTTGAAAGCCTTTATTGGAAGCCCGTAGACAAGAGCGGAATGTGGAGGCGAGGCCGGCCGGGCCCGCCGGAGCACGCGGGATGATCCGCACGGGATGAGCCGTGCCGGAAGGAAGGCAGGAGAGGTCGGCATGGCCAAACCGCTGGAGCCCTGCTGGGATCCAGCTTGTGACGGGCTGCAGCGGGAGCCACCGCAGAACCCGGCACGGAGGCACGGAGCGATGGCCGGAGCGTTGGTGCTGCAGAGTGTGTCATGGAGCGGGGATTATCCGAGTGACGACCCTGGCGTTGAATGTGTGGGATGGCGACGCTTCCTGCAGGCTCTCGGTGCTGTGGCAGGACGGGGACACCAAGGGCAGCCGAGCCCTTCATCACAGCAGTGCCTTCCACACACTGTCTTAACTCCCTGTGCCCCCGCTGGAATTTCCGAGCCCGCTTTACCCGGATTTCACCACAGACACCGTCCCCGTGCGGGTGGGGGCCTCGGGGACGAGCGCAGGAGGCCTCAGGGCACCCTTGGGTGCTGCCAGCTCCAAGGGACTGTGCGGGGAAGCTGGAGGCTTGGCTGGGTGCTCTGCAAAGCGCCGAGGCGCCGGTGGAGACGAGGAGCTCCCTCCCCGAGCGCGGTCCCGCTGCGCGTCCCGCTGTCCCCGCGGCGCCGTGTCCTGTCCCTGCTGCGGCGCCGTCGGAGCTTGCCCGTCCCGAGGACTCGGCTTGCGGATTGGAACAGGCTGGGAAAACTCCCCGGTGCCGGGATGCGGGTGAGGAGGCAAAGGCAGCGGTCAGAGAAGGACGAGTAGCCAACACGGCTCCACTGCCCCTTCAAACACGATGGGACGGGCTCTGTCCGTGCTGGGAACGCTGAAGTGTCCGTGTTGATCCCTCCAGACCCTGTGTCCCTATCTGTGACCCATTCCTTCCTTTCTGGCCTCGTAGAAGTGGAGTGTAATGAGGAGGGCCCTTCCTCGGAGACCCTTCCCACCTCTCCTGCAGGGGAGCTCGCAGGTTTGCGCGAGAGCTTCTCCATCCGCCGTGTCCGTGTGGGGCCGGGAAGCTCCGAGGGGAGCTCGGGAAGAGCCACCAGGCCGAGCTGGGCCAAATTCTGCCAGCATGTCAGTGAAATGTCCCCATTCCCGTCCCCGTGATGAGCTCCCGTGTCTGAGGGCGCCTTGGGGCTGTGACCAGGAGGGCAGGGAGCAGCCAGGGGAAGGGAAGATAAAGGTACTAAAATCTCTGGCCTCCCCAAGCAGGAGAGGCCGAGGTTGGCGAGCGGCGAGTTCCTGCTCACGGAACAGGCTCCTACCAGGTCTCACCCGCTCCGTAAGAATAATAAATGCCAGTTTTAAGGGATATGTGTGTTGGCGGGGGGAAATGAGTTGATTTGTGTCCTTAACCCCCCCTCCCGCCTGTTCCCCTGTTCCCTCCGTGATACTTGACACACTGGAGTTCTGTACTATATATTTTTTTTGAAGATGATTGTCTGTTTGTTTTTTTGGTTTGTTTCTTTTTGTTTTGTCGTTGTTTTTACAAGTGTTGTGGAAAAAAAAATGTAAGAAAGTTTAAGTATTTAAAAATGTTCCAAGAAAAAAAAAGGGGGTTTTGTTATTATTCTAATATATTATTGTGTACCTATTGTAAATATGAAACACTCCTATTTTGCAAGCCAAGGACTCACTTTGTACTGTTGTTATATATAAATAAAGTTTACTGGTTAAAAAAAGCGAGATTCTCCTGCGTGTGTCCGTATTTCCCAAGGGATAACGACGTGTGGCACTTGCTGCCGGAGCCCGGGAAATCCTCCCTGGCGGAACCAGCCCGTGCAGGATGGCAGCAGCGGGAGGTGGGATGAGTCCCCATCTCCGACGGCACCTCCGGCCTTTGCAGCAGGGACGGGTTTGCAAGCGCAGGGGAGACAGGCCGAGTTCCCGGCGCTTCCCCTTCCTCGGAAGCAGCAGCGGTCGCTTCCTTTCCATAAATTCAAGTTAACGTTTCCGCAAACGCCGGGAGGTCTCTGCAGAGTAGCAGGAGCCGGCAAGTGACTCCGGCAACAGCTGCCTGTCAACTTTAATGACCAATATGGTTGCAATTACAGCAATGAACTTTCTCTAACAGCCCCAAATTACTCCGGATGATGGTAAGTGACAGAACAAATGGAGACCCTTAAGGAAGCATTAAAAATAGGGAGCACGGGCATCTGGAGCAAGAGGTCTTCCCGCCTTTTCTAGAGGATTTTAATCTTTATTAATAGATTGATTGATTTAGTAAGTGTTAAAGGGGCTCAGTGCAATATAGAAGCGCTGTGTGCTGCGGTCACAGCAGAGTCCGGTGCTGCCCCAGGAGGGGGTTTCGCGCAGACCCTCGGCCTGTGCCCCACGTTGCCACCGCGGCCCTGTCCCTGTCCCTGTCCCCATCCCTGTCCCCATCCCTGTGAGGCTGAGCCGCGCTCTGCGGAGCTGCTCCCGGCCGGCTGGAGATGCTCCTTGAATCCCTTGGAGATTTTTGCTTGCAACAAGCTGGAAACCAGCCAAGGAGCACCAATTGCCCTTGGGAGCAGCCCCTGGACACCTCCGCGGATCCCGCTCCAAAGCTGCCGGCCGCACGAGCCACATGGAAGAGCACTCGGTGCTTTGGACTGCCGAGGGCGGCACCGTTCGGACCGAGCGCAGCCGGACGCTGGCTCCTTCTCCAAGGGATCTTCTGGAGTGGAAAAGGGGCCCTCGGCCCCATCCGCGTGCAGCCGCCGCGCTGCGAGCCGCAGCGGAGCCACGGAGGGGCAGTGCTGCTCCGCTCGCTCAGCACAGCCCACGCAGAGCCTGTAAACCTGCAATAACGCAGGCAAATCACTACGGGGCTATATTTGCAAATACAACAGCTTCAAAATATTAAAAAAAAAAACCAGCCAATTGCATGGTATCTAAGATGGAGAGAGTTGCAAATAGCGTTTATTGGGAATTAAACACTGCATGCACCTCTAGTAAGATTTGTTTGAAGCATCAACGAGCCCAACTTGATGCAGCGTCAGTGATGGATCATCATTGGAGCAATGAATCCAGCTCACACGTCTGTGCAATAGCCATAAATGGGAGAAATAAATTGTAATCGGCAGCCTGCAGGTCCAGGCGGAGAAGCTAATCTCTGTGCTAAATTACGAGACTTTTGCTTTAATGATTTTTATTGGTGTTTTGCAGCACTGCTGTTGGTTAATGCTAAGTGCTTTGTGCTTGCAAGGAAACGGGATTGCGGGGCTGTTTCCTGCGTCGTGTGCCCCAAACAGCAGCTCCTGGGAGGGGATAAGTGGCTGCCAGGGCCCCTTGTGCCACCCCTTCCCCAGCCCGCACACGAGTGCCTGGCACTGCTGTCCCGTGAGCTCTGGGACTGCCCCTCGGCTGCCCCGGCCACGTCCCCGGCTCAGGGACGGTGCAGAGGGACGTGGCCGGGTGACGGGCTCTCCTTGCTGCTGCTTCGAGCCTGGGTCGTGTTTTAGCCTTTGCATGGTGCCCAACCACGTCGCTCCTTGTCCACACCCGGGTTTGGGAGGATTCTGCTTAAATCTCCTCCAGCCTGGAGGAAGTCTTTCCTTCTTTTAATGCTGCATTAAAAATCCCCAGCTTTTGTGCTTCAGGGTTTTACTTTTAGTTGTCTTCTTTGGAAAAGCAGGAAAAGGAAGCCTCAAAATCTTTTTCATACAGAAAATTAATAATTTGGGGCACATCTCTATTTCCAAGAGCCTAGTTGCACTGCCTGTTCTGAGAGCCAACACCAAGTGCTTCCCCTCAGTGAAGTTCAGCCTGGTAATAAAGCTGAAGTTGGTATTTCGGTGCTGTTATTAATGTTTCTGTAATGTGCTGTTAATGGAAATGAGCTGCAGGAAGCAATTTATTAGCCTCAATCCTCCTCATGTGCAGAAGCCTTTGCCTACAAATGTTCCTCGTTCCCAAAGCGGCTCCTGAGAGCCAACACCAAGTGCTTCCCCTCAGTGAAGTTCAGCCTGGTAATAAAGCTGAAGTTGGTATTTCGGTGCTGTTATTAATGTTTCTGTAATGTGCTGTTAATGGAAATGAGCTGCAGGAAGCAATTTATTAGCCTCAATCCTCCTCATGTGCAGAAGCCTTTGCCTACAAATGTTCCTCGTTCCCAAAGCGGCTCCTCCGCGTGTCCCTCTGCCCGCAGGCGGCCTCGGTGCTGATTGGAGTCGAGCTGGGTGATGCTAACGGGGTGACTCGTCCCCAGCTCGGTGAGGCCGCCCCAGCCCTGAGCTCCTTCCTTCACCTGCTGGGAAAACGGCAGCATCGAAATGGGGTTTGGGGCGGCTGCTCCGCCCGCGGCGCTGGGGCAGCCGGGCCTGGCGGCGCTGCCCCCGG